CTGGACGTCCTCCAATCCTTCGCCACCCCGCTCAGGTTGAAGAGAAGAGACTTGTGCAGCTGGGCGAAGGACTGCTCCACCAGCAGCTTTCGGCCGTGCTCGTGGGAGGGCGTCCCCCGTAGAGACACATGGGAGGTTTGGTAGAGCCTCAGCTCAAAAATCTGCCCCTGGCTGGAGGCGTGGTAGGAGTTGTGGCTGAATTTGATCTCTAGCTGAGCCATCGTCAAGCGTTCGCCCTCCTCCAGCACAGAGAGGTTGAAGTACAGACGCTTCTGCAGACACAGCAACCTCTGGGGCTGCCCGTTATGAATGAAGTGGCCTGACAAAGAAGGAGAAATAGAGGTGGTGGTGGTTGAACCCCATTACGCCGAGCAAGGATCAGCCTCCCAGCGCTCCAATTTAAGCTCTTGGCTGCACAGCAAGAGGAAGATGGGGCTGACGAAGGCGGGCAAGCCAAGCACGCCCGCAGTCATTGGATCAAGACGACAAGGCTGCGGTAAGGGCTACCAGCCCGATGGCACGGGCTTCAGAAAGGTCTGGAGGCGCAAAGGCTAGCCTGCGGCTCCAGCCTGCGGCACTGGGACACTACAGCCGTTCCAGCATCCCTCCACTTAACATCTTGGGGCGTTATTTTTCCCCAGCTGTAAATATCTCCCCCCCCAGGACGGGGGGGTGGGTATTGTGGGTGCCAGCTGTTTGGGATGGAGTGGGAAGGAGGGCAAATAGCAGCAGACTTTAGGAACTGGGAAGCTGCCTGTTTTAGCCAGCCCTGGGTTTCCATTGGAAACCTGGAACCACGAGAGAAGTGAGCTCCCTGGTGTCTTGAGCCCTAGAGGACACAAAACAGTTCCCAAGGAACTGAGAACGGCTCAGAGAGGCCACAGGTTGAAGCAGGCAGATGTGCCGCATGGTCAGCCAGAGGCACAAGGACAAAATTAGGAACTGGGAAGCTGCCTGTTTTAGCCAGCCCTGGGTTTCCATTGGAAACCTGGAACCACGAGAGAAGTGAGCTCCCTGGTGTCTTGAGCCCTAGAGGACACAAAACAGTTCCCAAGGAACTGAGAACGGCTCAGAGAGGCCACAGGTTGAAGCAGGCAGATGTGCCGCATGGTCAGCCAGAGGCACAAGGACAAAAAGGATGGGGGGGGGGGACGGACACAGCCAAATGGGCGAGCATCCCACCCAAAGCTGGGTGCTGGTCTCACTCGCCGCACCCACAGCCACGTTACCACCACCCAGGCGCGGAGTCACCTCCACCACCGCGAGCCCAACGGGTCAAAGCCAAGTCACCTACGATCAAACCAGCATCTCTGGACTGCTCTAGGTGACTCCAGGACAGATCCTCACACAGCTCCACACCCCCGCCCACTGCCTCATTTACCGACTCATTTCTAAAGTGTAAATAATTATCTACAACATCCAGAGGGACCAGAGTTTACACAGCAGTGATTTCTCCTGGCAGACTGATTCTGGCCACTGCCCTGTCCTCCCCCAGCCTCTTCTTTCTACACCCAAGAGACAGAAAAGGAAGGATTGGAGCCAAGTCTCCCCGCCCAGAGATCAGAGGGGCCTCCAAAAGACAGGACCCAAACCACGGCGTTTCTGTACCTTGGTCAGCAAAGACACGGATGATGTTCCCAGGGACATTAAATTCCTCCACCCTACAGGCATCCGCCAGGTCTTTGTTTGTAGAAGGCAGCATCTTTCTCTTCTGGAAGATCCTCCAGAGCACAGACGGCACAGGAACGGGGGTTTTCGGGCTGGGCTTGGCGCTCAAACCCAAGGATTTTAACAGTAAACTTTCCTGCAAACTTAACTCCATCGCCAGAGCCGTGCTAAGGAGAGCCCAGGCCAGGCTGGCTTTAACGCCGGGGAGAAGCCACATTGCTCTGCTCTGCTTCCCGCAGACAAAGAGCAGCCCGGGCTGGGGACCTGAAGACAGGGGCCAGGGGGGTGCTGATTGCCTGATTGGAGCCTTTGATCTGGTTAGTGCTCAATTAGCAGAGAGGGATTCCCAGGATTGGGCAAAGGGTGTGAACGGGCCCTCCAGGCTCCCCGGGACCTGTTAACCCTTTGAGGCTGCGTGGCAGGAGGACAGCCGCCCTCCTCCCTCAGAGCTCCTACCATCTCTCCCACATCTCCACAGCATCCAGGTCCAACAACAAAGTCCTCGGTGGCCGGAAAGGGCTGCCATATGGATCTTCCCCGTAGAGAGCTGCCGGCGAGTCCAGCGCTGCTCCATCCCCTGCAGACATCCCATCCAGATCCAGAGGGAGGCACAGATCAGGGTCTCCTCTCGCTCCCGTCCACCCACACCAGCTTTTTCTTTTTTTTCCCCTAACCACAGCATCCAACACCTCTCTCTCAAGGACATCAATCCCAGCACACCAGACCATCCGCACACACCGCCCTGCCCACAAGACACGCAGCCCCAGGGCCAGCACGAAAAGCCACCAGCACCCACCCCGGCACCGGGTCCCTGCCCCAGCCAGGCAGAGGGAGCCGGCAGCCTCCCCGTTGGCACAGCCCCTCTCTAGCCATCACAGCAAAACGCAGGCAGCACGCCCGACGTCGCACACACCACGCTGGCCGACACGCTACCCAGCTAAACGCTGAAGCCTGGACAAGCCGGTACTATGAAATGCAGTTTACCCCACACGTGCCGACTAGGTACCGCCGTTACCCCAACTCGGCACCGTCGCTGCCCCAACTCTGCTAAGACCAAGCGGAAAGAGGCCTGGGATGTCGGTTCCCTTCACTTCCTCCTTCCTGCAAAACCCGCTTGAAAGCCAAGAACTAAAGCACTGAGATGCACCCCTCTGAAGCCCTGCTAGGCGATGACCAGCGAGAAGGTGACAGATCCTGCCACAGCGTGGGACAGTTTCCATCAGCCCAAGTCACATTTTGCTTTCTGTTTACCAAGGAACTTTCCCCGTGGCTCACACAACAAGCCTGGAGTTGAATCAAGACGACAGACCAAAGAACAACAACAAAAAAACCCCAAAACAATTAACCACCCTCTGATGCCTGGAATTAATGCCCTGGATCCCCATCCACTGCCTGTTGTCCCCAGCCGGGAGGGAGCTCTGCTTCCCAGGGAGCACACAGGAGCTGTGGGTCCTGGCCCCACGAGAGGGGAGCAATAGCACAGTCTTGGTCTGAGGGGCTGTAAAATCCACAGGGCTTCCCAGCAGAGGCACCCAGCCCAGCCTCAGCCACCCTGCAAGGCTCAGGGCTGGCGCTGCCTGGAAAACCAACGCAGGGAGCAGAAACTACTTTTTCTTTACTTGAGCAAGCAGACATTGCTGGGTGAGAGTCTAGAGATCCCTCAGCAGGGGACTCTGCAGGACTGGGACTGGCTTTTTAGGCAACTATAGGACTTACATAGGCTTTTTAAGCAAATTAACTCTCCTGGCCCTCAGCCAGCAGGCCAGGAGGCTGGAATAATGCTCCCGGGCTGGGTTTCCAGGCGGACCTGCACACGGGAACTGTGCTGTGCCTCCAGATATATGTGGGCAGCTCTGTATTAGTGACCCCTCCTGAGGAGGAAGGCTCAGAGGTGCACTGCATCACCTCTCTAGTCCCTGCTTGGCAGCTAGAGAAGAGCTGGCTTTGGGCTCGCCTCGCCTGGGACAGCGATGCCAACGGAGGAGAGGACCTTTCCCTCCCCAGTTCAATGCGGGGTCGGAGGAGCCTTCAAGGGCTGCTGAGGAGGGGTTGGTGGGAGGTCCAACAATAAAGACAGGGGAAATCACGAAGGGACTGAGAACAGCCAAGGGATGAGGTGACAGAAGAAACACCAGGGGACCTAAAGCCAGCTCCAAATCCTACCTGGACCAGCAAAGCCACCAGCCTCTCAACTGAACCAGCACAGACTGGCTACAGAAAGCACGTCAGCATCGGGTGAAGCCTGGTCACAGGCAAGCCCCGGAGGGGCCTGATCCTGTCAGTGGTATCTCTTCCCCGGCTCCGGGCAGGGGACGAAGGGGTATCGGGGATGAAGTTCTCCTTGTGCCTTTCATTTGCTGGGTTTGAGTGCAGGGTCCTGGGTCAGTCCCCAGATCCAGCCAGGCCGCCCAGGCTGCAGCAGCCACACTTCCCTTATAACCGCTTGTCTTTTACAAGTCCATTCTTCAGGTGCATCCTGCGAAAGAGAGCACAGCAGACAGTGAGCCTTGGTCTCTGCACAGACTCTCCCTCCCTTATTTTCACAAATCACTACTGAGGGTCAGACCTGTCTCGACAGGCTCACGCAGACAATTTGTCCCCACTCAGCCAGACCTGCTCTGTGGGAGCCGGCATCTTGTCAGACTTCGTGCTCACCACATGAAGTGCAGATGCTGCCCAGAGAGGACAGGCTGAAGCAAAGAGCCAGTCCTACACTGTGAGCCGGGGAAGGGGTGGGTGAGGACAGCACAGAAAGATGGATGGACGCAGCACAATGCCTAGGCACGGAGGTACAAAGTCCTTCCCGATATCTACAGCAATGTTTTACACTCTCTGTCAAGGCAGCCTGCTCTTCTGTCTTCCAGCCCAGTGGCAAACCCTCTGACAGCGGCTGCAGGGTCCTGCGAGGTCTGCCAGCATCCCTTCCCCGAGTCCACAGATGCTGTACACGCGTGTCACCCCGCCCTGCCCACATACCCTTCTTTCAGAGCACTGGGCAGCTGGAGTCCAGCCTCTTTCTTCTTGGCCGTTGTGGTTTTCTTGCTGTCCTCCACGTCGTATTCACGCACGTCATTCACCTCTTGCATCTGCCCCATCAGCACCTTGGCCACAAACAGGACGATGTACTGTGGGAGGAGAGACACTGTCAGCCACTAACTCCAAGGCTTAGAGCTGTTCCACCCAACCTACTCACACCCATTTGCCATGTGGGACCTTTCTCCACTGTCCTCGGCCCCGAGAAGGGCAGGGCAGATCCCTCTGGGATGGCCAAAGCCCTGGGCTGCCGCGGATGACCTGCAGCAGTGGGAGGCAGCACTCCTGCAACTACCCTTAACTGATTTCAGCCCACGGGATGAGGAACTCGGACGCTACCCTGCTCTACTCAGGGCTGAGCTTGCTGACGCGAGCCATCCAAGCTCTTTTCACCCCCTCCCCAAAGCTTCAGGGGATGCCAGAGCATTTACACCCATAACAAGTTCCAGCCTGCTCCAACTGCTCTTATCACTCCCTCCCCGTGGATCCCAGGGTGCAAGACAGTCTGAATTAAAGCACAGAAGAGCCCCCCGGGCACTGACACGGGTTTCCTTCCTCCCCTCGCAGCCACCCCTCGGTCCTCCAAAGCCTCCCCCATCCCTGCAGTCCCCCAAGACAGGCAGGCAGCAGGCGCTACGCAGGAGCGGCGGCGGAGGGAGAAGCTAGCGTAGGGGTTGCTGAGCTTCCCCTACTCACCAGAAACCAGTAGATGTTCATCAGAGTGAGGACAAGGAGCAGAGCATTGAAGAAGAAGTAGAAGGGGATATTAGGGACCGACTGGAGGCTGGAGTAGCAAGTGGCGTAGAGCACCTTGAGGGGGAACCAGTAGAGACGGAACCAGAACCTGCCAGGGCAGAGGGAGCAGGGTGGGTTTAATGGCCCACGGGGATCCCGGAGAGGCATGAGACCCAGCAAAGCTTCCCCCAGCACAACCTCCTGCCTCCAGGCAACCCTCGTACCCGGCAGTCCCTGCTCGCAGCATCTGGCTTGGGTTCCCAGGCTGGCTCTAGACAGGATTTCACACAGACCCTGTGAAAGGGCAGCTACTGAAGGGAGAATACCATTTCTGTGGGCAGAAAAGGCTTGGCACCAGAGGCAGGGCAGAGAAAGAGCTTTCTCAAGGTAGAGAGGCAGGTTTGCACTGCAGATTCTCTCAATTGGGTGGGGGACAGGAGGGGAATATAGCCAGAAGGTTTTCTTAGTCCTTGCGCATCTCTAGTTTATCGCTAAACACCTTCGCTGTTCTCCTTCCCTCAAATTGAGGGCTCTTGTTGCCACCCCTGCTTTTCAGAGCAGCTCCCAGAGAGGGAGGAAGGAGACAAAGGAGCAAATGAGGAGTGACGACCTGCGAGTCACCCGGCTCTATTCAACTTTTTTTCCTCCTGCCTTGCGCCAGGAGGAAGAGCAAGGCTGGAATCTGGGACAGCCCCACGTCCTGTTTCCTTCTTGCCAAAGTGCTTCTTACTGTTCAAACCAAAGGAGTGGGAAAATGGAAACAGCTCCTCCTCCCTGGGGTCATTTGTCAAGCTGCAAGCGAGATTTCACAGGCACTTCTGTGGTGACAGACAGCAAAGTGACTACAGAAGGATTCCAAGCCCAGCATGGGGTCAGGCTCTGCAGGAACCTCTTCCCAAACAGTTTTTGAAAGGGCTTGTTCCCATGCACACAAACCCAGCCGGCTGTACCCCGGGGCACCGGGGAGGATTGCAAAAGCTGGCAAGGACAGTTGGAAAAGGGATCAGGGCTGGGCAGGCAGGCAAACTCACCAGCTGACACTGAAGATGAGGCAGCCAACGTTGGAGATGACGTCGTTGAGGCGATGATAGACTCCCCCCCGGTGCTTGAAGTAGACATTGAGCTTGGTGAATTCCAGCTGGATGTCATTGACGTCGTGCAGGAAGAGCACGAGGACGCCCACATTGTGGTACCTGTGGGAAAGAAGAAAGCGATGGGGAGGCGGGTCAATGTTAGCACCCATCACACATGGCCCATCACGCCAACAGCAGACGGACTCCATAAATAATCCAGACCAGCAAGCCTGGCACGGCACAGCACGGCAACGTGCTGCAGGGCGGGTCTGGTCCCATGCAATGGCTCACGAGCACTGGGATTGCTGCAGCAGCACGGACACAGGAGAATCGACACCAACCCCGCACGAGTCCTTCTGCTACATGCCCGTGAGATGAACGTGAGCACCGAAAGGCTGCAGCTTTTGCTGTGCAGCTGCCCAAAGCTGGCTCAGGCACATTGCAGAGGAGCAGTGTCACAGCCAGGGACCTCACCTGAAAGCGTAGGAGAAGGCTATGAGGGTCAGCGTGACCACGTGGTGGAGAAGCATGACAACGGAGTCCTTGCGCCATGTGTCCATGTAGGCGGTGGCATAGATGGAGTGCCCGTAGAAGCTGCACTGTAACAGGTAGGCGACGGCGATGTCCGTAGGCACCTCCATGCCCTTCTTCCAGTCTGGGGTGGGACAAAGACACGCGGGTGAACCCAGAGCCACGAGCACAGAGCTCCCATCAGCAGCAGAGAGACAGGAGAGCAAACAGCAGGGAGCAAGCAGCAGCCCGAGCTGCCCCGAGCAGCCCCAGCACTTTGCCGTGCTCAGGCGCTCCAGCTCCCTTTCAGGGGGTCATCACAGATGCAAAGGAGGCAAAGGCTGGAAGGGAACCCAGGGATCCTGGCTCCCAAACCCTGCCTTTGGCATTAGCCCCACTCCCTCTCCTAGATGGAAGGGAGAAGCCTTGATTTACTTCTCTCCTGCTCTAACTACTCAATCCCACTCCACCCTGTAGCTACACATCCCGGGGCCCTGCTGTCCGCAATAGCCACTAGGTGACTCTGTAAGGAAATGAACCTAAGGAAATGTACCCACAGCATCACAGAAGAGGCAATTTAGGGGTTCAGTCTTCTCTTTCGCTCACCCCAACTCTCCTCGTTCAACCCGGATGTCCTATGACATCCTAATCCATACCCGCTTCTCCCTGGTTCTTACTGTACCATAAAAGACAGATGGTGGGTCGTAGAAGAAGGGGTAGTCTGTGAAGAAGAGCAGGTAGATGCCATATGACCAGGATAACGTGTAGAAAAGCAGCTTCCAGGCACTCTCAGGCATCTTGGCAGCATCTTTCGGCTGCAATTTGCACCATTCTCCGAAGGGCTGCAAGGAGAGGGGAAAAATATCATCACATAGGGCAAGAAAAGAGAGGTCCTGGGAAGCTCAGGGCAGAGAGCACCAAATCTCCAAGAGACTTGAGCACTACATGCTGCGTGTGCTACCAGACAGGGCAAAACCAGGGTTATGAACCCCATTTTTCTGGCCACCTTCACAGCACAAATAAGGAGGTCAAAGAGAGAGCCTGAAGCAGGGAAAAACATGAGGCTATAGATCCTTCCACTCGGCCTTGGCCATGGTGGAGAGCTGCGAAAGCAGAGCCTTGCGGAGAAGGCAGAAGCCTAGAGCACATGTCCCGCCGTCTGGGCACGACTCCATCGCCCTCGCTCCAGGAGCAGGGCTGACCACAGCTGGCTTTTGCAGAACAGAGTCAATAACTAATAAAATAAAAATCAAATCCTATCTGCACGAGGAAACGCAGAAGAGGAAGCTGTAACAATACTGTCCTGTGCACGTGGACCTCGCAGCACCGCCAGCTCCCAGGAAAGAGCCTTTCAGCCGAGGAAAGGCTGAAAGTCCTAAACACGCAGCCGCTGCTGCTCCCCAACCAGCACGAAGACTCCCCTGAGCGTGCAACCAGCATCGGAAGGGGCCAGCTTTGCAGGTCACCAGTCAGTAAAGGCTGGGGCACCAGGGCCTCTTGCTCTCTCACAACCTGCCCATGCCCGTAGCAGCTTTTCTAGCTGACCAGCACTGAAACGCTGCTGGTTTCCCCGCGCCCCGCTGTGGTTTGCAGCACCCCTCCTCCTGGTGTGGACTTGGAAATAGGAGGCAAAGCCTCCCCAAATACGGCCAAGGCAAGGGGAGGGAGGATGAGCAGGTCTGCAGATTGCTCCTGCTAATCAAAACGAAACTTTCTCACCCCAAGTGCCCCACGCTCCCGAGGATGATGAGTACCACCCAGCTCTCCCGACACTCGCGCTCTGCGACATCGAGACAGCTGAGCCACCGAGGCCAGGGACAACTTGGACATCGCCGTAAAAGCAAAGCCCCAGCATTAAACAGCCTCAGCTCCCCAGGAGGAAAATGGAGCAGCTGATGCTACCTTTCGTCTTGGACTACACGCCAGAGAGCGAGCGATGCTGCATGCTGAGCGTGCCCTTAGCTCGGCCGGGGCTCCGGGCATGGATGTTTTCCCTCCGTGGCAGCTGAGCAACACCAGGCACCGTTTCTGCTTCTCATCACGAGAGTGACAGAGCCATATCAGCCCGGCCAAGCTCCGTAGCCCCCGGCCGTGGCTGCAGGGGAGCACTCAACGCGGGGGAGTGTTGCTCAAGGTCCAGAGGGAAACATCACTGCCTGAAACACAGATAACACCCAGAGGACCCCCCCACCCCCGGCTGAGAGCTCCCCGGGGAGAAGCCAGATAAGCTCAAGATGAAAACAAAATGCCTGCAAAGTAACCATACCCTGCCCCAGGTCAGCACTTTCTGCAGCCGGAGCCCGGCTCCTCGATGCTCAAAGGCTATATTAAGGCCCCAGCTGTCCTCAGGCAGCGGCTGATCTGGCTTTTAGCCCCTCTCTGCATCAGATTTTCAAAGGCCTCCACTCCAAGCATTGTCCCAGCCTAAAAGTGCTTTGTTCTAAGCTCTGAATTTCCCAGCACTGGTCAGACCTGGAAGCAGCAGCCCTACGAAGCTCTGCCAAGTTGTCCACATCCCCTCCAGCTAGAGGCACAGCGCTGGCCACCCCCTGCGCATCTCGCATTCAGAGCGTGGCCGTCCTCATCGAGACCAGGAACACGCTGCTGCCAAGGCTCCTTCCAACAGGAGCCATGGCAGGAAAAAGAGGAGGAAGCTTGAAGGGTGAATAAATAATGCAGAGACAGAAAGTCCTGAGCCCAGAAAGCATGAATTATTTGTGTCTCCATACAGTGGAGCACAGAGGCAGCTCAGATGTGGGGACAGCTCACCACACCACTGTGACAGTGAGCTGCAGAGCCCCGTACCACTCCTGCCCTCCTCAGCTGGGGCTGAATTTAGGATGCTGAGCTCAGCCTCACATCCCTGTTGCAGCCTCGCTGCTGATCGCCAGCCAAGCCATTTCGCTGCTTCTCTGCATCTACCTGCAAAGGGGGAAGGACACCCTGCTTCTGCCCCGGGTAGGCAGAGCTGATGACAAGGACCATCAGGCGTGGGGCTGGCACACGCTACTGAGACAACCTGCGTTTCACGGACCCTCGGACCCTCGGCAGAGATGGCGGCAGCGCGGCAAACTGCCGCTGTGAGCCTGCAGGCACGGCAGCAGCTCCCAGCCTGGAGCGAAAACAAAACCCAGGGAAGGGCTACTCTGCTCCAGCTTGTGGTGGCTAATGCTCAGAGAGGTTTTAGCCCTCGCTGAGGATACGGTTACTAACAGGTCCTGGAAAGAGCCCTGCTCCCATCTTAAATAGCCACGGGGCATCTCAGGCTGTACCCTCAGCACTACGGAAACGGGAGCTGGCTCTGGAGCAGACGCAGGGAAGGCTCGGAAGAGAACCAGCATCTCCCAGAACACTGACCCACATGGGGGTGGGGGGGACAAATTAACGTCGCCGGGGAGGCCCCACCAGAACCTGGACCGCCGGCACAGGGAAGCGCAAGCCAAGGAGAGCGCAGGCCAGCTCACGCCAGGCAGGAGGCTCATCTGCCCTCTCCCCAGGGGTGGGAGATGCACAAGGTGGGGGATGTCCTCCTGCTACCCGGCTGCCGTTCCCATGGCAACGGTGCAGAGATGCCTGTTGCTAAGGGTGACGGGTGCTGCAGCGGGAACAGGGGATCTGGCTCTGGCTGAAAGAACCCAAGGCTCTTGGCAAGTGATGTAATGGGGCTTTGCTTAGAGGGCGACCGGCTCTTCCTCCCTCCTCCTCCTCATTACCCGCAGGTAACACAAACCTTCCCAGGCGTCTTCTGATCCATGTGTAAAATTAAGCGGTCTGCGGGACGTGACCGCTCGCCCGCAGCATCGTCCGGCACAACCTGGGGGAGTGAGTGAGAGCGCACCGCAAGAGCGGGTTGGAGCTGGAAAGAGGAACCAAATGGAAACTGTCGCTGCCCACAGCTCTGCTGAAGTGTCAAAAAAATACTCGTAGCAAAAAGCAAACACACACTCTCTCCCTTTTTACAGCCTCCGGCACTAGAGGAAAGCAGCCAGTCCCCTTAAATCTACAACCGGCTAAAGCAGCAGGACACAAGTCCTTCCAGCAACCTGGCAGACTTGCAGTGATGGGTCATGAATTGAGGTTTGTTACAGAGGGATTGTATCCCCCAGACCGCCCCCATCGCCTCTGCCACCTCCCCAGCCTAGAGACAAGGGCCCAGCCGAATCCCAGCCGTGCCACGTCTGGCTTCTGGGCACAACGAGTTCCCCAGAGGAACACAAAGGAATGGCTGGCACGAAGCATCCTCGGCCCAGGGAACTGGCAGTTTTACATCAGCTTTTACTCAATGCAGATGATAATGATGAGCAAGCAGAGCTTCAATTCAAAACCTGGCCACAACTAACAGCTACTGCCCCTTCCACAGCAGCGGCACAGCTCCGCGCAGCCCGGTGTGCATCTTCTCAGAGCTGTGATGGTGCCTTTCCACCCCAAGGAACCACGTCCCCTCCGTACCCAGCCTGGACACCGCTCCCAGACCAGCTGCCACCCCCTGCCACATCAGGGATGGGGCACAGAGCCTGCAGAAGATAAGACCCCGTAAAAAGTCACTGCTCTCTAAACCCAAAGAAATTAGTCTCCTGGAGCCTGTGGACCCACGGGCAGTGGCTGTCACCCCACCAGGAAACGGGAATGAACCGAGCACAGCACGAAGAGCCCCAGCTCTCATTGCTCCATCCCCACACGGGTAGCGAGCCGCTCAGGGCCACAGTTCGTCTGCCCGCACAGCAGCTAAGACACTCGCAAGATGTGTTAGGCCCTGGACCACACTTCCCAGATAAACATGTAGAAAAAGGCACTATGACAACAGCAACAAGACAACAGGTATTATTTCTTCCTCAGTTCCTCTGCAAGCAGTAAAATTTGCCCCTAAGAGAGAAAAGCAACAGAAGACACTCTTTGAAGACACGACACAGCTGCCCACAGGGTGCTGCGGGGGCTGAATAACCTCATTGCCCTGACTGCTGACACAGCGGCACAGGGAGAGCGGCCCCCGCTCCGAGACGCAGCAGCGCAGCTTCATTCCCCGGGGTGAAGAAAAGACCCATTGTTGTGGCTTCCTCCCCTTGGGTTTCCAGGGTTTGTGCTTCTAACAGTGGGGCAGAGCACAGCAGGGCGAGCCAGGGAGACCGCGGTGCGGCAGAGCCTTCTCCCACCCCTGGGCTCGGTCGGTGTCCTCTGCTCTCAGCAGAGACTGCGCTGGCTGGTGGGTTTTCGGGACAGCGATAACTCCCCTCAGTCACGTGCCCAGTGCCGGGGCTTGGAAAAACAAGTCTTGACAATAATGTAGGGTGAGAAAAGTTGCATAAGTCACTGAGAGGGATAACAGAGACCCTTGCTTGCCAGCTTCCATATCCTTCCTGGGGCTATACTGTATCACTCGCCTAGAAACGCTGCTTTCCAGTGCACATTTTCCAATTTACACAACACTGTTCCTTGCAGAGGATACTGCAATGCCCTGCGAATTTCAACATCACTAAGACAGCAAAGCTGACTAGCACCTCGGCCAAAAATGGAAAACATTTACCCACTGCAGAGAAAAGGCAGACAGCCATAAAGGATGGGGGTGATATCTGATGAACATCACCAGATTCAGAAGCGGCTTTTACACAGAATGGATTTTGCTCGCTTAGGGACTTACACTCAGTTGACTTTGGGGACTTCAACTCCCAGCAGCAAAGATGGCTCAGGGTAGTTTAGGGCTGCAAGGGTCTGCCTAGGCTTGCCACAGATATTCTGGATCATCTTTGTGAATCCACGTGCGCTCTTTATCTATTCAAGTTCACTGCGCAGCTCAAGACCTGCTTGGGAAAGGAGACTGCCAGCATGGGCTTGCTGAGCTCCAGGCACTTCAC